CGCTCCCTCTGCTGCTTGGGGCTGGGCTCGAACCGCTGAAGTGTCGACCATTTCTGGCCAGCAACTTTCAGTGTCATTAAGCCACTGCGCCACCATGTCCCCTTGATCACCTGAATACTGCTCCCCAAAAAAGCAAAAGACTCAGACCACTACAGAAACTAGACAACCTGATCAAAAGAACTCTCAATGACCTAACCAAGAAAGGTCAAACTGCAAAAGAAGAGAAGTGGCAGATGAAAAGCAGTGGACCCATTCTCCCATGCTTCTATGGATGCCCAAAAATACACAAGCCCAACCTGCCCCTTTGTCTAATTGTATCGCTATCAGGGACCCCAACATATAACATAGCCAAACAACTTACAAAAAAGCTTGGAAATCTCACAGAGGGGGAGCAAATGTTCTATCAACTCCCCACTACAGTGCCTCCAGAAAATCAGACCTAAGAATAGAAGAAAATGAAATTATGGTTTCATTCAATGTCATAGCACTCTTTACGTACATAGATCCAGAACTAGTGAAAGAATCCATAGCAGCAATACTACACAACACATCCGACCTAGCCAAACACTAAGATTGAAATAACTAGAATCATGGACCTCATTGACCTTTGCCTCACCACTTACTTTCAGTCTGATGGACAAATATGCCAACAAATCAGAGGAACACCCATGGGATCACCACTCTCAGGACTCATACAGTAGCAGAGACTGTAATGCAGTGTCTAGAAAGTATAGCACGCCCACACATACAACCAAAAGTATGGTTTGGGTAACCTTCGTCATAATAAAAAAAGAACAGCTACAGAAGACTCATGAAACAATCAACAACATCTTCAAAGGAATAACATTCACAAGGGAAGAAGAAACACTACTCTTCCTGGATATCCTCATCAGCAGAGGAAATGACAGCTAATTAGAAATGCAAGTCTATCAAAAAACAACCCACACTAACCAAGTGCTTCATTACCAAAGTAACAACCCAACCTCTCAAAAGAGGAGCTGTGTAAGAACATTATTCAGACGAGTACAAATGAACTGCAGCAACCCAGAACATCAGATAAAGGAAACAGACCGACTATACAACATTTTCCAACAAAATGGATACCCATGCAACTTTATCAAAAACGGCCTGACCACTCAGCCCACTACAGCACAACCAACACAAGCTATGAAAAGGATAACACTGCCATACATCAAAAACATCTCAAAAACAACCAGCAGACTATTACAACCACACGGCATCACCATAGCACACAAACCAACTAAAGCCCTCCAAAACATCATAAGTAAATCAAAAGACCCAATAGCCCAAGAAGAAAAAAAACAGGAGTCATCTACAACATACACTGTAAGGACT